AGAGCCAGTGATTCCCTACCGACCCCCCGCCCCGGCAAGTTTCGATCACCCAAAGTCTACAGCGACGAACGTTAATTTGATCCCTGTCTCCCCGTGCGCCCCCCTTCCCGTTTCTGGGTGCTACTGTATGTGCCCCCCCCCCCCCCCCCCCCGCACTCTCGCGTCGTCGACGCGTGGTCATCCGTCGCAGGCCGATCTTGATCCCCTTTATGTTTGTCGTGGCGAACTCTTTCTTTCCCGGGGGACCCCTGCTGGGGGAGAGGACCTTGGTATTGGCCTTCACCGTCTTGACCTTCATCTATGAGTGAGTCAAACAAACCCTATCTGTGCAACATATTCATAGTTAGAAACTGGGAGGTGTAATCGTAACGTGTCAAGCATGCCTGAACAGCGTACTTCTCTTGCCTCTCGAGGATGAGCCTGTTGTGTGTCTGTGTGTGAGCCAAAGCTTGAGAGATGCCGGCGTTTTTCGACAGTACGGGGCTGCAACACACTAGTAGCGCTCAAAAGAAACCAGGTTATCTGCCACCGAAATGGTGACCACACATCGGGCAATGCCTGGCCGAACAAGAGCAGGAGGTACCGGGCCTACAAAACAGGCGCAGCGCGTGCAATCCGCACGACCGAATTACTACTTGAGTTGGTGGAGATATATATGTTCGTTTACCCACGTAGTAGGGTCAACGACGTGGCGAACCCCACCGACCAAGAATGGATTGGCATTTCCCTTGTCGCTCCCTGCGCAAGCCACAACTACTAATTCGTGCATTCACACAAAAAAGGGTTGTCGCACAGGCGCTCCAGACAGTGCACCATGAAAACCAACCGCCTTGCCAAGTGGAAAACATATTTCAACGTTTGAGTGAGTGGTGTGTGCGCGCACTTTTTTCTTTGATTTTATGTATTGTGACGTTTGTTTTGGTCGAACAGGGCGCTGTACCTCTACCTGGTCGTGACGGAGACAAGCCTGGCGCTCGACATCTACGTCTTCAAGCTGGGCAAGAGATCCGATGCTGCGAGAAACGGCGGCGGTACTATCACCTCCAAGAAGGATTGAGTACGTACAGCAGCCGTTGCAAAAAAAATAAGGAGAGAAAAATGGCGAGAGAAAAACGGCGGCCGGCGGCGGGCAGGGAGATTGAAGAGGTTGGTGAGATTTGGTGCGTAGCCGTTGTTTGATTTGTCCACGGCGCACGGCCGTTGGTTTTGTCACGCTGCGTGCGTGCGAGTATCATCAAAACAACTGCCGTGGTAGGTGTACACGCGCCAAGGCCCACGGCGGGTAGTCATTGGCAGCCAGCGGCGTTGAGCGCTGCCGTTGATGGAAGGGTGTGCGTGTGTGTGCGTGTGTGTGCGTGCCATTAGACCGATATGTTTGTTTGCGCGTGGGGGGGGGGGGGGGGGGCGACGGGGGTTGGG